AAATAGGAATGCATCAATTAAAGACCTCAACTGCCTTAGACTGGTCATTTTTCGTGCACATGGATGCCACTCTGAGGAAGAGCACTTTCGAAGCTTAACCCCACCAAACCGCCTGTTGACCACAATCCCAATCAATCAATCAACGATGCTTGTGACCCACTTGATAGCTCAGTTTTACGGACCTTCTGGAGGGGTTCTAAGAGGGCGGCCCATTCACGTGTTTTGAGGAGAGGTGAGTCATCAATTTTCCTCCTAAACTGAAGCACGACCTCACTTGTGTTAGATCATCTTTGTCTGTCCTGTATGCAGACAAGATCACATATTTCTCCACACTTTATTTTTGTAAAACGCAGTCCTAGTCATTTTTTGTGCTCGTTGCTTCGCATTGCTCCACACTCTATCCACGTGCAAAAGCGGTGTCGAGACAAACCGATTAGTTGGTGGAGCGCCACAATATTCGGAACTTAGCGACGACATAAGCAGGTTTGTTGGAGACGCCCTAGCTGTATTTTTATGACGTTCCATCAACAGCATTCGACGTTATGCTTGTAAAGATGATGCGTACTTGTCAATTATTTCGTTATCTTTCACCAAAATATAAATAACTTTATCACATCCCCTTGCCATTGCACAAACACGATTAGAAGTGCCTCGCCTTCGCCTTCCATTTTACCTCATTTGACCCTCACTCTCCCACGATTCTACCTCATCCTTTCTAATCATCAAGACGTAGCCTCTAACCATCGAATTTTAGCGCGTGTATGAAATCATCCAAATTCTTCACCACCGATCTCTCTTCATTATTCCACTGTAGCAGGAGTTCAGTACCACATGCTAACTCTATCGATGGACAAAGGAGTGTGCTGGTCTTTATGCGCTGACAAAAATAGTCGCAAGAGCCGTAACCAATGAGAATAGTCAAAATTACACCTCTTCTACCTTGTCTTTTTTGTGTTTACTTCATTGCTTGTAAGTGTTGCGCACAGTGTTGGCAACTCTGTGACGAACCACTCACATGGTGACGGCCACTCTTACACTACGATTTCAGTGTTTGAAAAGGCAAACGTGGAATAGCTGTCAACTAGAACCAACAATATTTTCCGCCTTCCTTAAGGCCCTAAAATGTATCGTCTGTTTAAAGTAGGGCCGGGAGGCCATCACCAGGCCTAGTGAGATTCGTCGCATTCTGCCATGCCTACCAGCAGTAACCTCGATAGTGAGAATTTATTTAGGTTAGAGTGCAGACCGAGCGATCGGCTTTGTTTGGACTCATTTCTTCAACCGCTAGACCTTCCATGCCCTCACAGCCCATTTTCCCATATTGTAGCTTCAACTACTCCATCACAGTTACGTGGTGTTTAGAGTGGCCACGCTTGTATTTTCTTAGTGGCTACCTTCTTTCCTCACCACATTCTTCCTCTTATCTTGTTGACAGACTAGTAACAACAAGAACAGACGTCCCAATCACACGGCGGTTTATATTCCACGAGTAACGCCCTCTGTTAGCAATGCACACTCACTCACGCATCAAATCCGTGCAGATTACATACACATGCAGAGGAGGAGAATTGAAATGTGAATGTGAATGAGAATTCAGTGGAGTGTAAAAGGCTGGATTGGGAGTAGAGCAACAACAACACCAACGAAAAGGAAACACGGTTTTGTGAGGCATAAGACTTGGTGAATTTGGACATTGTCACGAAAAAGAAGAAGGTGTGGATATAACACACGCACAGGGCGTGGGAGAAATTGGAGAAGGTGGGGAGGGGAGGAAGGGGAGTGGAGTGGGTAATAGGAGTGGATGTAGGTCAGATTAATCTTTACACACCTTGCAAGTTCCTTCTAGACCATAATAATAACTAGTCTGCATAGATGTGTGACTGTGAGTGTGTCATTTTCTGACCGCAAGGCATACATAAAATATCAGTGCGTATCAAAACATAAGACGGGTAAATTGGATAGATTGTTGTAGGATGTCACAATGCGCCTAGTTAACTGTTCGAGTTGGACTCGTCTGCCAGTAGCATGGAGTAGAGTTGTTGATCTGCCATACAGCCGTCCATAAACTCCTTTCGTGTCAACACCCCATCATGGTTGGAGTCCATCTTCTCGAATATCTCCTCTGTTCGTGCCTCAGGAGTTAGATCAACTGTTGCCTCATTCGCCCCTAACATACTATAGATGGCCTACAAACGTGGAAGAGTGACGTTTACCCTCACTACTTTATCATTTAAGTAGGACTAATTGCAAATGTCCAACGCTGTTTCTAACACAATGTAAACAAACCTTTATAATTTCGGTCATTTCCTTCTTCTCGATGGTGCCGTTGCCATCAATGTCATACATCTGAAAGGCCCATTCCAACTTCTCCTTTGGTTGTCCACCGGAGGTGATGTTGATAGCCAGGAGGAATTCATTGAAGTCAATTTTACCCGAATTGTCCTTGTCGAAGGTGCGGAAAACATGAGTGCAGAATTGGTCCGCATCACCGGTGGGAAAGAAGCTGGAGTAGACCTCGATAAACTTCTTCTTGCTCAGCTGACCCGAGGGACAGTCCCGCTACAAAATAAAGTGGATAAGACACCTAATTCTCTGCTGAATTGCCACGCCTCTATTCCAATACCTCCTTCGAGACGCCTTATTTTGTCCATTTTAAACGAAGGCTCCATTCATATTAACATGATGTGACACAAGCCCAGATTGACTTTCATTCGATGTAGAATGAACCAGCCTTAAAAATGCCTGATTTGAGGCATTTATTTTGGCTCAGAAGAAGAGCGACTCCGCTTCACTTAAAGGGACATTTGTTGCCAATCCTTCTTGTTAAGTGGAGGAAAAGTACTCTAAAAGCGTTGCAAGATAAGTTAAGAAGACAGGCTTGAGTTTGGTTGTTTTATGTCCACTAATCCAACTTCTACCAATGCAATACAGACAGTGCCGCCACCTCAACTTGCTTCCATTTGAGAGGCGCTATCAATGAACCCAACGAAATGCACACGTTAAGGGCATTTTGAACATTCGGCAAGCGACAAAAGGCTCAACACTGTCTTCTCCTTAGTTCGGATTGCGATGACATCTTCTCTGTCCCAGATGTCCTCATTCTTATTAGTGAGATTTGGTATCTGCATGCCAAATGCCTCAAATTCACGCTGAAAGTCGATGAGTCGACAGTGCAGCACCTTGATAAAGTGCGCCCTCCAGTCTGAAATGCCGACAGCACTTCTCCTCCTCCTCCTCCTCCTCCTCCTTTCTTCCTCCTCTCACTTGTGATGAAAATAACCTTTTCTAGAGTTATTTCGAATACTTGTTGAGATTGTTCGCTGCTGCTCGACCAAACCGTATCCACCAGGACCTTCCAGGCGGTCTAACGTTAAATAATAAATGGACCTGTTCTTCACGCCCAGAGTTCGTTCCACTATCATATTTTATGCAAAAAAATTATAGCACTTTTGCGTTGCATTTAGATCTAGAGGTTCAACTTTTCCTTTCACCTCACTTCTACTGCATACTTGATGGTGGAACAAAATTCAGAGTCTTCAAAAAGGAGTGTGTTTTTTCTCTCCACCGACTTCAGCCTTGTTTTATCCCCTACCACCTTTGTGCATCTTTGCGTATGCCACCCGGTTGATTGCGTTGACATGGTAGCAATAACTTAAGGTCATTTTTTTTTTTATTCCTAACGCAAATGTGTACAACTACAGTGAGGAAAGAGGGTTGGATAGAATGCGAGTGTACGTGTAAAA